CAAGTAGGAGCTGGGGGTCGAAGAAGTATAGCTCCTACTCATCCTTAACCTGGACACTAGATAGGGGTGAGTGGTCAGCGTCACGCCCCGACCGTGTTTTACAACAGGCAAGGGACCCATTGAACAGGAGGCTGGCTGGGCCCCAGGGCCGATCTGGAAGCAGAGGCTTAAAGAAATTGCTCTGCCCCTGTCGGAGATAGAATCCCGGTCGTTCAGTCCGTAGTCAGTTACTGTACTGCCTGAGCTGCCACGACTTTTGTTTTGAAAACTTTGATATATGGAAATAAACAGAAATTTGCAGACTATGTTCTGCTTTCAACATTCACTTTCTTCTAAAGAAATTAATCAGTTGAGGAGAAAGAAAACAATGTTTAAAGTTCGTATTTACGATCTCTTTCAGAGAGAGATAGTTTAAAGTACGTAAACTATATTGCAGTTCGCTTTATTTTCTTTCTTTGATCACGCGTCTGAATAAGATGAATAGGTACAAACTGATGGAATAAATATCGTCTTATGTCGAAAACATATGCTTACGTTTTCATATCATCTGCTATCTATTTCTACGTTTCTATGGTCACTACTTACGGTAATATATAGTGTGTGTAATTTAGTACACTCAGAATGTAAAGGTCGAAACAATTCACGTGGAAACCGCATATTCCAGTACCGATTACACCTTCCCAATCTTGTTTTATTTCTTACTTATAAATGAAGGAAGTGTAACAATTTAGCTACAGCTTTCGAATTGAATTATAGCTGTCTTTATAACCACTAATTTGGAAACACGCTGTATTCTAAATAGACCAATGGTGGGGAATCACCCGAGTGTCGGAGAGCTTCGGTGGGAAATGGCTGCAGATGCAACAATAAATTAAACTGTAAGAAATCCAAAAACTGATAATAAAATTTGGTGCAAGTATTTGATAAACATTCTAAAATACATAAAACTATCTTTATATGTAGTCAGTTCAGGTACGACATCCATGATAGGTATCTTCAATTAAATTAAAGAATTAATGGCTGGTCGCACTCGACTTTCTCCTTTTAAATGTAATGGCGTATAGGGTGCGTGGAGGTAACGGTGCACTCATGAAAGACCTCTACATAAGATGGGATTAATCAGCGTTACGCTCCGAAAGCTTTAGCAAAGTCTCAATAACACAAAGAACAGTCGTGAAATTTTTTCAAGTCCTGGTGCAGGTTTAGCGCCTCTTAGCCAAACATAGGCAGTGACTATTTTAGCGCTTGAGCAGCCAAGCTGAAGTATAAACTTTATTTAGTTACTAGCGGAAAGGCCAGATGAATTTCTACGTTGAATCGTATGTAGATGGTATCTGATGGTAGCAGTACTCGTACAACAGAACATTCTGCCATCTACCTTCATTACTGAGATCTTAGTCAGTCATGCATATCACGCACACACACAGTCATCAACAAAATACTACTATTATATAGTTATTACTTTGTTCTTCCAGTCCTCTAAAGTTTTGTATTTGGTCTACGAACGTAAAATTTGGCAAACAGCCGTCTTATTACTGATATCCGGTTACAGTATATTTTGTCACCCCTGAACTAGGCTGTAGGATACTACGTTTGAACCCATGATCCCTTCATGAACATTCTTCACATGAAGCAGGCCCAGCTTCTAGTGGAAGGAACGTGGTGCGCTTGAGGGCCAGAGGACGTTCAAGTGTGCTCCGGGCTTCACGAGACACAGTGAAGAGAAATATGATATGAACAAACACGAAGGTCAAATTAAGATGCGCATCAGCCTCATGATTCTCTTCTACAACAGGCTGGGAACAACACAGTTCAATAGCTAAAACTGCCTGAGAGTAAAAGCCGATGGTTCTACGCCAACGCACACGATCCTGATCTAATCTCATCTGAATCTCACCTTCACAGCCTACTACCTAAAACTGATCTTCATGTCCCATCACCTAATCGACTTACCAAATGGCTGTGTTCCAACAAGTTTACGAACGAGGACTATGTGTCTTCTCGTTGTTACCAAGAAACCTGCATTACGTCACACCGTTTCTCGTTACGTAATACTCCCCTCTCCACAATTTCTTCGTTCCTCTTTGCTGTGGCATTCGGCTAACAGTGCACTCTTCGCATATCATATTACCCAAGTCAGTCGCACTTGTTTTCCGAACCATAAAGTAAAAACACAAGAAACATTTATCGACGTAGTAAGTATTAATTACGACTTACCTCACAGTTTTCACTGGACACCTGTTTAAAGAGTGTGAACACGAATATTCGACTGCCACTGTTGATAAACTATGACTGCAAGATCGTAAGAGAAACGCCACAAAACAAACTTTTTGCACACAAAGGTGGGAAGCCGCTCTCTATCAACGCGCCATCTTTGAAAGGAGTTGAGTACCAACATGACCAACCTAATGGCCCTAAATTTTAAACCATTTATTAATATATTTGTCACTACACAAGCGTGTCACTGTATCTCGCTCTGTAGTTTTAAGCTAGTCTGTCCAATACAAATGTCTTCCTAATAACATTACTTTCAAAGATTTTAAATGTATGTCCTTCCTTCAGAATGAGAATATACATTTCACACCAAGACAAATGGTAATAATATCCAAATGTAATAATAAATATTGCAATAATTTCAGGTTTCAATTAAAAAATTATTTCTGAATAAGTTCATTCTTTGACACTTGGTACGGGTCCTTGGTTGGAACATTGACCCTTTCTTACACAATATATCACAGACATAAAAACATAGAGTGTGAATCAAACCCGACACCCCGTATTTCGACAGGGTGTCCATCATGACGATGAAAATAATTGCTCCAGGTAAAACGTATCATTTAACAAACCCCTGTAGTAGGCACAGTTACATCTATTTATGTTAGTCAGGGTTAGGAGGTCTGAAAAATGCTGTGCATTGCATTGAAGAACTAGGCGTTTAGTGAAAAACAACAAAGTCTGCCGGTTTACAAATCCAATCTGACGACTGAGAGATTAAATAAGAAACGTTTTGTGGTAGGGAGAGATGATGGAAATGCAGAAGAAACAGGAATCGAGTTTGTACCAAAATGTGAGGGAGTGGGGGTTGAACCACTTGTCTTAGAGGTGGAATCGGAATGACGCCACCACAGTGGCGCCTCCAGGGGGATGAAAAATGGAACGAGGGGTGACAGAATCCAAATTGTTTCTGTCTTTTGTTCCCCCTACTATTTTTTTTTGTTCTTACATTTCTTTCCCACTTTAACTTAAGCTTTTCACTTCCCTGTTTCTTGTATACGTATCTGTCTGCCTATAACGCACTGACAGAAGCCACTACTCCATAGTGAGCTGAGGGAAAGTTCTCTGGTTTCCATCATAAAGTTGAAGAAGGCTTTTGACATGCCAGCTGAAATCTTTGCGGTTCTCTTAGCAAAGGCGACCTATCCGGAATTGTAAAGAAAAAAGAGGAATACAGTGAATGACGTATAAGCGTAGAGAAGAGAAACAGAATAAAAGAAAGTTAAGTGGTGATGGATAAGGGAAAAGAACAAGAGTTTTTATATATTTTAAAACAACAGAAAACATCTTGACTTAGGTCAAGATACGTTCTACATTATGTAACTGTTCACCCCCAACAGTAACTGCTTTTCCAGGTTAAATTTAAATTCAAAATTTGCTTATATTTTATTCAATGTTCACTCGTACTACTACATCTATCGTTATTGAATTGCGTAAAATTGAACAAGTCAAAGTAAACATTCATAGCTATTTCTTGGCGTAATCAAGTAGTTAATGTTTATATAAGTAATACATATTATCCCAATACATTATTTAAAAAGTATTCACACTATGGTATGATATCTATATCATCTGATTTCAGCATGGCAACCTATGGCAGTGGACCATATTTAGATTTTTTACTGCTGCGTAATTTCTTTGATATAAAATAACAAAATCTTCAAATACATTACAAATGATCAGTATTATAGTTTTGAATAATTCTACCATGTCACTTGCTTGCCCCTCTGAGACTTTTAAACCGAATGACATCTGATTACTGTAATATCGGAATGCACCTAATTGTTCAAATGAGAGATTATCAAGTGCAAAGAAATAGTCAAAGGCGCGCCATGTTTCGAAACAGGCCTGCTACTCTGACATTTTACTGAAGGGAAACCTTGCATTTCATTACACATATTAGTCGCCGCAACAACCGAGAATCTTAATGTATCTCTCTAGCAAAAAAGTCAGGCTCTCTTCGTCTGTGTCATGTTCCGCTGTACGATACTAATTTACCTGTTTTCTAATGTTCCAGTTTAGTCGGACCTAATCTAACCTTATATGTTCTCTACATCCTAATCGCACGTCTTAGATCGGGGACACATGACAACACTGAACAATGTGGACAATCAACCGTACATAAAGCGAGACTCAAACCAGAGTGGGTTCAATTTTTAAGTAACCTAAGGTAATGTGCGTCTCAGAATGCGAGGATCCCATATCAGCGTGATTTCATAACGGGTTTTGAAATTATGTCTTTCTCGAAATTCTGTTCATCTTCCCCTCTTTCCGACATTCCCATTTCTTTTTGTTTCTTTCATTCGTTCATTCTTGTTTTTCTTTACTCCTGTCCTTGTTTTCGATTTTTAAGATTTTTATATTTGTCTCTTCCCTGCCACATTTCTTTCCTCTATCTTTATATTACCTTTATGCCTTACTTATTTATCAATAAGACAGTTGAGCTTGAAAATATAATTTTTCAATTTACTTAATGTGGAACGAACACATATCACAGCTTCACTGTGTCTCTTCTGATGCCACTGTAACAAATCCTACACTACACAATGAAACGACAATAAAGTACAATATCCAAAAGTTTGAACGTCACCTCTGAAACAAACTTTGGAATCCAAATCGAAATTGCTCTCTTTCGCTGCCAGACAGTTTCCATTTCAACACTTTACAGCCAGATCATAAGATAACCAAATTTTCTCTTGGTTTATATAAAAGCAATCTGGTAACGATTTGTGTCATAAAACAAATAAATGTGTCACAGTTGTGGGAGGGGAGGGCGCATCACATCTGTATGCGCTACTGGTTATTTCCCTTTCAACAAAGTTTCTAGTAGGACAAATGTGGATGAAGAGTGACAAATGGCAGATGCGCACTCGGATGAAGGAGAAGAAGAAGTTCTTGGCACCAATGCACAGCTCACGGCATTATTCATAAAACATTTCATCCCTGCTTCCTGCTTCGTTCCTTACAATTGAACACGTTTACAGTGTTACTACAGATCCGTACAATCTCTGCCTCATATTCTGTAGAAACAACGAAGGATGGACGAAAAAACAAAGAAATAATTTCGGATTACAAATTAATTATAGAAGACTCCTACCTACCGAAACATACGTACTAATCAATGGCTACTGACTTCGCATGAAGTAAATAAGTTTTTGCTGAATGAAACGAAAGCCCTGTACATTTTTCATGGATTACTTTAAAAAATTAATTTTTATATAGACCTATTAGTCTCTTGGGGTCCGCGTTGGCCGCGCGGTCTGAGCCGTGGGCCTTGTGCCGCTTTGTCGCTGGGACCGTGGGTTCGAATCCCACTCAAGGCATGGATGTTTGTCCGCGTTTTTCTGTGTTGTGCTATCCTGCGACGGGCCTATCACTCGTCCAAGGAGACCTACCGAATGTCTAATAGATCAAAGCCAACGAAAAGTTGGGACCCGCAGTGCTCAGGCACTTGAAGAACGGGTCGTTCTCAGCATCCTCCAGTATTTGTCTCTTAGTGGATTTAAGGTCACTATAAAGACACAGATGGAACAGTTCAGAAAAACAATCTTATCACGCCTCGGTCTCTGTGCATTATTTGCAATGCTTATGCCCCGGCCAATTGGCCCACTATCCAGATTGACGTTTACCTGATTTTACTAAGTTCAATCCTTTAAAATTCTTTGCAATTAATTATTTACAATTAATATATTAATGACGCTAAACCTATAACATAGGTTTTTTAGTTTAAAGAACGTAAAAGTTGGCCAAAGAAGACAAAACGATCCTTAAGGAAAAGTTACTAAAAACATAAAATTGTGTAAAATCAAGGAAGGAAGGACTTGACGAACGTGTAGTACGCATGCCACAGAAATGCAAATAAATGTTATCAAAAATCATGAAGTAAAGAAATCACTTAGTAGAACAAAGCATAGATGGCAGTATGATATAAAATGGGTGTGACAGTGAGGGGATTCAACTGACTCAGGATAATATTCAGAGGCGGCATATTTTAAAACGTACTAAACCCACGGATTATTTAAGAGGTGAGGATTTTGACAGTGTCAGCGACTATCAGTTTATCAAGAATGATTCTGTTCCATAGCATTAGTCTCCTAACTTGCCACAGCCAAAACGTTTTCCCAGGGTTTCACTACTATTACATATCGTGCAACTGCCAGCAGAAGATCAGAGAGTCGGATGCTGCATCAGAATTTATTTATTCAGGAGCTACAATGTATATTCCACTACTAACTTAAAAATAAATTTTAAAAAAATATTTTAAACTCAACTATGAGTATTCAAAAAATGCTGCATGTCTTTTCACTCTCTTCGTCGTATTTCATCTCTCGTTTTAAATAAACATTTTTCTGGAGCGAAGAGAAAAGGTTTGCTTAGACTGCTATACACAGAGCACATTAAGTATAAGATTAAGGGGGGCAGTCCAGGAAGACAGACAGACAGACACACATGCTGCTGTTGCTTCTGTCTTGCAAACTCAACAGGCATCTGGTGTTTTACATGCCATATAGTAAAAAAAATATAGCAAGAGAATCCGCGTTTTTACCACGAAAAAATCTCAAGTGATACTTTCACAATGTTTTTCTAGAGGTAAGGATAGGGGCTCAACAGAGCTTGCAGTCTGCGAAAGTGGTCTAGCTTCACTAGAGCAATGAGTGAAGATAATCCTACAGGACAATGTAAGTGCACAGATGAACCCGAGGAAAGTAAACAGACCAATATATTCAAACAGGATAAACACAATTTTACACATCCCACATGCTTTGATGTTCATCTGCTGCAACGTTACTAAGGTAACTACAACGCCAATATTAAACTGTGCAATCAGAAATTTTATCTATACTTTTTTAAACATTAGCAGGTTTGAATGAAAGTTCCAAATAAAAGTTTTAGATGCTGATGATAAACACATTTTGTGATGAAGCAATTTATCAACTACACTTTCACAGAGACTCATAAGTTCATTATTTTCTACATCTAAGGTGCACTAAGCGTTGTGTTGGATACGACCAAATTTAAATCAGCATGTGCAAGCTGCCAATTCTTAATTTTATTAAAATGTATTTAATATTTTCGGAGATGAGTCATCCCGAGAAGACAGTCAAACATAACCTATCAAATGCGTCATAATTTGAAGCACTTCATGGAAGGCGACACATCTAAAAATCTTAAACACCTGTTAGTCGAAATTTGTCGATAGCTCTATTACTTCAAATTGTGAGGTTTCAGGTCGAATCTCGACTATCAAAACTGCTATTCTTAGAATTACCACGATTCCGTTAATCTGGAAGAGCAAATGTTTGAACAGTACCTCAAAAAAGGCATTACTACTATTATCTCTGCCCTTCCTACTCGAATTACTTCACACTGTCATTTTGTGCTTAAAACTATTCTATTAAGACAGTTTAATCAACAAGCAAATAAACATTACTTTATTGCTACATTTATATTAATCGAAAAAACAATTATATAACTGATACATAATTTAAACTGAAGATAAACTTTCTGCTGAGTTAGGAAACAGATCTGGATTCGTTTGAATATTTTCAAAAAAAAAAGCAGGATGATTATGTAAGTGGAGGCAGTTGTAAGGGCATCTGGCAATGAGAACTTGTACCTATGGGAAACCACTCATGGATATCGTTGTTATCAGCAAGGGGAAGTTTGTCAGATGAACATTTGGACAAATGGAGCCAGAGGAACGAGACAGACTGCTCTCTGGAAATTAAGCAGAAGCTCAAACATGTACCAAGTCTGTAGGAACCCTTGAAAAACAGAAGAAGTTTCCTCCATATTATTACTTCTTGAAAGACAAATCACAATACCACCAACCCTTCTCCTCGTAACGATTAGACGCATTACCTCATATGTCAAGACAACTATCTAGAAGTGCATAAACATTTGTCAGTCTCAGTCTTCTACCTACATACAACAATTCAAAGATGAATTATAGGTGAATTAGTACACCACCTTCCGTACTGGAATAAAACATTCAAATAGATTACGATCGAGAGATCCTTTTACAGTTTACATTTCATAATAACATAACTCACGTCATTCTATCTTCTAGAACAGCGCTTCTCAACCTATGATACGCGAGCCAATATCGAGTGGTACACGAGCTAAGTAAGAAAATTAAAAGATAAAATTAACATAAATAAATTTTCCCTAAACGCATTTGGTTAGTAGTAAAAAAAATTGTTTTATTAGAATTAGTGGTACGCCAGCAAAAAAGGGTGAGAATCCCTGTTCTAGAATTTACTTGGAATTGCCATGTGCGAACAAAATATGCCTATTTCTGCTTATTTTCTAGTTATAAAAAACTATACAAGCTTGTTCCCACTTCAGTCGCATGTATGCAAGATCTGCCAATAACTCTACTTTGTTCTTGGTTTAAATTAACGTACTGATAGGCCTCTTAATTATTTAACTGAAGCACAAACAAGCTCATAGTACGCCATTGAAACTCAGAGAAAGAAGATGAAACAGCGAAGAAAAATAAGAATCAAAGAAGCATAAGAACCATAAAAGGAGGAAATGTAAGAGAAAAATGAACAGTTGATTAAGAAGAAAACGAAGAAAATTAGGGGAACAAATATAAAAAAGTATAAGGATTAGGATAAAAATAAGAAAAATAAGAGGGAAGAACAAGGAAGAGGAGTGAGTGAAGATGATAAACTATTAATATATATTTAAACTGACTCATATATCCTCAATAGTTGATTCAGCATCAATAAATGGTCTTTGTGGGACTTCGAGTACGGGCGACTGTCAAGGTGCATCAATACACCACTTTTTGTACTGGCGCCGGCAGAACAAATTATTATATCTCTTGTGTACAGTGTTTTCTACTCTGCATTCCAAACAGCAAGAAAATAAACCACAAAGCACCTTTATTCCAAGTACAGCAATGCAAGGATGCAACTTCAAACATTCTATTGCTTCAACGGATTGCATTTCCCAGGGAGATCAAGATTACAAGCACAGGAACAAACACAATAAACTTCACGTTTTCAGTACAGGTTAACCACAAAGCACACTCCCCTTGCACTCCGCAACATACAAACATGCAAACCAGCCATGAAGATTGAATAAAGGCTAGATGAAGTGAGTGCCGTGAATTCGTTGTGCAATCTTCTGGGAAACAAAGCGTGTCCAAGTGGTCAAAATTAGTGTCAGAAGAACTTTCTAATTTCTATTTCAGGTTCAGGTGCATGAAAAAATGTAAATAATTACCTATAAATAAAACAGCCAATCTCAAATTGAGAGTGGTACAGAAGATAACCTAATGGTTTACGAATCATGACTGATTATATCGCCCTGATGATGGAGGCAGCAAGTACCTGTCAAACGTCCGTCAATTTCTACGAGACTTCATCGTGCAGCATCCCAGAAGATTCTCACCACCGTAAGAACCTGAAATCTCACCATATTGAAGGCCAATTCTATATGAAACTAAGTAGCAGTAATAAAGCCAAAGGTTCAAGAAAAACCTGGCCATATAAAAGACACTGATAGTGATCAATGTCTTAAAGGATAACCAAAATACGAGGTAATGGCAGCAACATCAGCTGTGGTCTAATTTTGATGGGTGACCATAAGATAACTAAGCTCCAGAATTGTATGTACACCGTTCTCACTAATAGCAGTTCTTGGGACGTTTCTTGTAACTTCCACCTTAAAGAATAAGAAAGAAAGTACCTCTGATACATCGGCTAAGCTCTTACCACATCGACATGGTGAGATGCTCAGAATATAACTATAATTATCGTTGGATCACTTTCAAGAAGCATATTTTTTACAAAGTTTTACAGCGTTAAATGTCGAGCGCCAGATTATTAAGTTTATTAAACCTCTGTCTCAGTGATAATTTAACGGTACAAACGACGTATCTAACTTACTACATCTAAGTGTTAATCAGCTCTCTGAGTCCACGAAAACTAGTACGACCGTCGTGGAAATTAACGCCATCTCCAAACATTGTAACAACACGTACATGTCTGAAAAAATGCAAATATCTCTAAATAGGCTTTTAAATTAAAAAGAATATGACGGATTATATAAGCTGCATTAGAACCAGTGATAATAATTTTGGATGTCTGTATGTAAGTGTTTCTGATAACCTATTGCAAGCTGATTTCTTAAATTATGGCCTAATTCTTTGACTATATCAATTACAGTGTCTTTCATCATCGACTCGCATGTATTTTCCGCTTAGAATAATAAACTTCATTACAGTAGCCATAATTATAGTTTAATCTTTTAATTTCTTCGCCTGCATTATCCAGTTTTCACTTTAATATAAGTCTTGTAAGGGCTAGAGCATCATACATTACCATTTTATTCTAAATTTCTATAATCTAAAGAATTATTTATGAGGTCTAGAATGTTTAAGAATTTTCTATGTTTACATCTATAAGTGCTCCTGCCTTATAATACTGAATGCTTAGTGCAATTCATTCTAACAAACAGACAAACTATTTTTCGACCTCCAATTTCCATGGATAAACTCTCGTAAGCTCAAATGCATTTCACTATGGGAGAACAACTACACATCAGACTAACGGATATAACGCAGTTTAAATAGCACGTCCACTATATAGCTATAAACAGGCAAGGGCCTCACACATAACAGATGTCTGTCGTTAGAGGAGAGTAAGATATGAGCATTTCCGACACAGGAAAGTAAAAAGAAAAGCGAAGAGTGAACATAATTCGTTTTTCCTCTCGCGATTTTGTACGTACGTCACGGGAAGACTTGGAATAACTAAAGTACTACTGTCTGAGGAGGAAGTGTGACAGAAAGAGAGAGAAGGGAGGGAAATAACAGTGCGTAATGACTGCTCCTGCACATGGGAATGATTATACTTCTCTAATAAGGACCACAGCCGTACGTGACGAAGAATTTGTTTTACTGATTCAATTATTTCTTCATCTCTTGAAAAGCCACCAATTTGAAATCTGTACCTTACACTTAGTCGCTCGCCTTAACGAAGCACTGGTATCATCATGGAGATGGCGTGCTTCCCTTCGTTTTATAAGACCTGCTGTGACAATGAACATCACAGGAACTGTCGCAAACAGTGTGTGTTCATTTCTTTCCAGTCCTCGTCAAAACGCAATTAAAACCAAAATCAGAACTGAATAAAAAGCTCACTTATTTCATTATTAATAAAATATACTTAGATTCTTTTCCTCTACCCTTTATTATCTTCGCTTTGCTTCTAACAGCATCTATAATATTTCTCCTTGATAAACTAAGAGTCGTTTAACTAGGTAAAAACTTCGTCACCTTACACAAAGCATGAATGTCAATGTGTTTAACAAAGCTGGACACTGAACCCTATCTTCAGAGAAATAAATCCAAATCTTCCCCCTCAGGTTATAAACAAAAACTCCGTATGCTGCGTTTCCCATCACTCTTCAGAGAAATAAATCCAAATCTTCCCCTTCAGGTTATAAACAAAAACTCCATATGCTGCGTTACC